ACAAGCTTAAGAGGTTTTCACATTTTGTTCCATGACAAAAAATACATCAGTAAATACTCCACCTGTGAATTTTTTCGGTTCCTAACAAGTGGTTAAATGAGACTACAGAGGTTCTTGGTGACATTAAACGTCACAAACTCCGAGACTGCACTAGTCCGCCTTTACAGCCTTGTTGTGTTTATACTCGAGCTATTGCAAACTATTCTAACTCAAACTTTACAACTTGCGGATTTTTATTACAAGATTTAATTTGAATTGGTGTTGACACTGAAGTCAGGCGACCATGTTGGCCTAACGTTAGCCTTTTACTTCTGGTGATCACATTTACGCTTTATGAATCATAAAAGTATCATAAACCTCTCAGTCCCCAAAATCCTATTGGCTTTTTGTCAAAGGAACCAGGACGATGCTAACTTCCACGTTTGCCTACAAAAATATGTCATCCCTGTCTTTTCTGTCTGAGTTTCTTTCCCATCTTAACAAGAATAACTTTCAGTAGGAAACACTGAATACTTGTGAGTTATGGGAATGTTTTTGGCATGAAAAACATAAAATTTTAATCTTCTGAATATTGGCTGTAAAGGAACAGATCAGCATTTTTTGCATGTTTAAGTCCATTATGTACAAATAGCATACACGTTACTGCTGAATAATATTCAAATGATACCAAAATGGTTTTTTTTAAAGGACCTGTGTGAAGGATTTAGAGGTGTCTAGTGGTGAAGTAGCAGATTGCAACCATTTGAATACAGCTCCCCTTCCAAGTGTGTAGAAGAAACTACAGTGGCCACCAAACTTGCAAAAAAATTCTAATTCTTCAAAAAAGTCCTTATCTAGAGCCATTGTTTGGTTTGTCCATTCTGGACTATTGTAGAAATGATGGGTCAACATGGTTTTGATTAGTTATTTTGAAGCTATATATATATAAATCCCCTCATGATTGACAGCTGAACCCTGCTCGCTTGGGTTTGTCAGGCATATGGGCAGGATCTCAGTACCGTGGTGCTTAAACAGACAATACTTACAAAACCAAGAAAAGATAAAAGAAAACATTTCTAAAATATAGTTAGATAGAATTTAATGAACTTTGGGTTTTAATCAAGATATAATGCAAGTAATTTAGAGAGTCAGTAAGAAAGTCTGCATCCATTTTAATTGAATGACTCTATTCTTTACCTCAAAATCAATCACATTCACACCCCCTTCTTCTGCTGCTTTCAACATATCACATTTTCAAATCAAGTGTTGCTTATTATTCCAAATAAAATTATAATGTATTTGGTTTATTTTCTGTATACACCTGTCTGGTACAGTTTAGTAATCCCTTTCATCTTAGTTAACAATATTCTTCCAATAATTTTGATATTCCTTGTAACCCACTTCAAATTGTATTCTTTCTTTTGCACAGCAGTTTGAATATTAGTGTTTTCCCTGTCAGTACTTTTACCAATAGTTAGCCCCAAATATTTAACTTAATTTTTTACTTTTCTTTTATATGTCAATAGTAGACAACCACCATGTTTCTACAGTAGCCCAGAGCGAACAAGCAGATGATAGGACCAGCCACAGTAGTTTTTCCTGCTCACTTGGAAAGCAAGTTGCAATCTGCACCATTAGATGCCACTAAATCCTACAAACTGGTTTTCATGCTTCCATGTAGTCCTTGGTTTCCATTCATTTTCCGGTCATTGAAACCAGTTTAATTATCCATTACAGTGAACAGCATGTCCCTTTTAATTTTGTCAAAATTAGCAGATTGTCATGTGGATGCAGTGCAGACATTTCAAATCAGTTCATGCTTTTCATCAGCATTATGCAATGATAACATACCAACAATAATATTACATAATGATAATCACATAAGCTGATTTGTATGTATTGTCCTTTCTCATGACAGGCCCCCACCATTTCTTGGTGGTCCTAGCGGTACCTTCAGATCCAAGTCCTACCACCACATGGCATACAATCCCCCAGCTCGCTATTCTGACAACATCCACTCTGACCCCCTGTACAGGAAGACCATACGCCCCATACATCCTGTTGAGGCTGCCGGGATCATTACCGCACAGAGTTATGGAGGACGACGCGGTCCCACAACCCGCTACGTGATTGTCAATGAGCACGAGCCCAGGAAGAAACTGCTGCGCTCAGCTACACGAATCCCACGCCATTACCTCATGGAGGAGTCTGCAGAGATTCTGGAGCTGTACCCACGCAACATCAAACGCTACACACCCCGCGCTGCCCACTACCACCCACATCCTCACCGGCCCCACCCATCACAACAGCATCTGAGTGAAGAGGAAGAGGAGGAGGAGGAGGGAAAATGCAGGAGAAGGATGTCGTTGGGGAAGGCTCACCGGCCCCGTTCCCTCTCTGACCTCCACCAGCCGCCACACTTCTACATCGGTGACCGTGTAGAGAGCCACATGTCCATGGCTAAAGACAGCCACGCTGCTCGAGGAAAATATGGAGCGCAAGAAGAGGACGAAGAAGAGGACGGTGAAGGAGAAATGGACTGGGGAGATTTAGAGTCACGTTCCGGGTTCCAGGCCAATGTCAGAGCAGCGGACCCTCTTCTTGTGCGGACCAGGCGTCACATCCATTCCCCAGGAAGACACTATCAGTCCCCGGCCAGGACCAGGCACGTGGAGTCTTACGTGAAGCCCAAGACGAGACCGAAGCTGGAGACCCCTCTGACTGAATCCGACTCTGCCTCGCTGGCCTCAAGCAGTGACCAGCAGAACAGCAGCACTGACCAGTACATCCAGGTCATCCACAACAAGGAGCGCTATCTCAAGTCTGATGCCAAGCAAGGAAAGCTGGCCAAAAAGAAGTCCAAAACCAGCTTTGATGTAAATGTCACAGAGTCAAATGACCTGGTCTCCTCCAATGTATGACACCTTTGATAAAATGATGTATTCTGTTAAAATATCGTAGATATATATGCTACTGGAAGTTAAAACGTTGAATTGAAAGAACAGAGAGTATATCATTATAAATGTTATTTCTTTCTCTTATGTGTGTGATGTCATTTTGAAACAGCAATGTCAGCTAATTAAATTGGTTATTGTAGCAATATGTGTAACAATAAAAGCAAATGACAGTGATGCTAAATAGTCTAATATAAACTATTAAAATATATACAGCCTACATCATTACACATGCTTCCCGTGCAGTCTCACATTTATCCTACCTGCAGGGGTAGATCTGCACAAATATTCATGTGGTGTCGAGAGGGTGGCATGGAAACTCTAAGGGGTGGCAGAAATATCTAAAATGCAGCCATAACACATGAACAACTTCCATTTTTTAAACCACATAATTTTTTCAAAATAAACTAAATTTGACAGCATTTGACACCAAACTGGAGTGGCAGCTGGGACGACCATGCATTTTTTAGCCATCCTCCAAATCCACCCCTGCCTACCTGACCTGTGCACGGACTAAACGGCATTTCATCTGGAATGAAGTGACCAACTACAATTCCCAGCTTGCTTTGCTGCAACAAACTACTCCAGCTGCAGGTGCGTGAAGGCAACCAGATTACAAGAAAGAGAGGGGCGCTTGTGCCTTCAGACTAAAATACGTGGTACTTGACGCTCAGTTAAATGTCATTCTGTGTACAACCAATAGTGCCACACTTGATTAAATCATCAACTGCTATTGGAAACACACTCAAAATGCTATTATAGCGCATTATTAGAGTTACATAAACGGTTAAATCTGTAAATATGGATTTTATTTTGAAAGACGTAACCGGAAGTGTATTTTTTTCTGGCTGATTTGACGTCTCTGCTAACGATTCCCGTCGTGTTAGAGGGAACCGCTTTTGGTTTTAACGTTTTAAACCGAGACATATGTGGGCTGCCGAGCGGCACTAAGAAAAAAAAAAAAAACAAAGAAAAAAAACATCGTTTGACAGCTAACCGTAATTGACGGAGTTGTGAACGTTGCTGTCTATTCACATAACCTCGTACCCGCCAGCTAGCTGCCTGTTCGTTAACGATGCGGCCATATAGCACGTTTCATTCATTGTGGCTAACGCTAGCTTTGTAGTGGCGGCTCGCGCTCACCTGAGCAGGTTTCGGTCTAACGTTAACGTTACTTCCTAACGTTTGCTAACGCTGCTGCTCGCTGCTACAGTGAGGCTTTCTCTTCTCTTCTGTTCAACTGACGGATATCTGTCTCGTCAGCTAGTCTGCAAAGTATATTAGGTTAACAACGTTAGGTTTGCTTTCACTGACTGTTATGGACTTTGAAGAGAAAGCGAGGGCAGTGGCTGACTGCTTGATGAGCTACAAGAGGGATGAATCCGGGTGGAAAGTCTGCAAGAAATCGGTAAATATGTGTTATAATAAAATGATCTGACGTTAATATGAAATCGTACGATATTTATCCACTCGCTCTGGTACATGCTGTTCTCTGGTAGAACGTTAGAGGACCGACAGGGTAGGTTCAGTGATAAATGTGTCACTTGATGTGGCCTTGCTCCCTTACCTGACAGGACAGGACAGGACAGGACAGGGTTAAGAACTTTTAGGAAACTTGAGGCTCCACTCTTCCGTTTGGCCAACAGCCATGCACCAAGCGAGTGTAAAACATAACAACAATGTTTTATTCTTGGTTGGTTGTTGTTCCTTACTGTAAGTCGACATTTTAGTTAAGTTGCATTACTCTTTGCAGGAGTGTGAATCGCTTCTAAAGTGAGGCTTTTAAAATGAATGTTATTAGATTGCCCAGAGGAATACAATGTTATCAGATTGCCATAAACAAGCATTGATTAGAAAATGTCCATAGTTCCTAATGTTTGTCCCTGTCAGTCAGCTCAGTGTGTCCTTCACTGCTGCTGGCTGGTTGGTGAGGGTCTACATGAGACCACTGTTCCCCTTACCTAATGCACTTTTTCTGCTTTCATATAGTGCTGCACAATATGGCAAAAACACCATATTGCAGTTATATTGACAGATATCGCATTAGCGATTCACAATAATGTGGGAATGACCATTTTAGCAAAACACAAAAAACCCCTGATTAAAATCATGATAATGTGAAATGTTTGGGGCTCTGTATCAAACAAAATCAATGTTAAATCAAAATTTAAAACCAGGGCACCTCTGCAGCACTACAGTTCTTTTATTATTATATTATACAGTTAGTACATTTTACCTTTATCAGAACTACAGCTCTTGCAATTTCCATATTGCGATTTTGATAATTTTCTGATAAATGTGCAGTTATCATGATGTTTCTCCCAAGACACAATCTATAATGATGAGGGCTGTGTATTGGCAAGACTCTGATGATGCCATATGTATCATAATACACAGGTTGCAATACAATGTATTGCGATACTTTAAAGAAGGTGGTATATTGTGATTTATTTTGTTCAATCTAAGTTTAGGAAAGCTGTCATAATTTGGCAATATATCTTTACATTCCTATCTCTAGAGTAATATCTCAAGACAAATATTCAAACCGATGAAATGAATTGTGATATCAATCGTGGTATCAAGGCTCAAAGATTTCTCTTTCACTTTTACAATGAAAAGGAAATATCTGTTGTTTTGCGCAGTGTATAGCCTTCCTCAGAAATAAAATAGATTCTATAATTTGGTAACTAAAATATAAGAGGAGTCACTGAAAAGAGCACAAAAGTAAAAAGGGAACATACGATGAGATATTACAAATAAAACAAAAAGATTATTGGACATACACAGCAAGGAATTGAGTGAACACATTTTGCATTGTTAAAATGGAGTTAAAAGAGGGGCCCCCCGGAGGATCTCACTTAGGCTCCTATGGAATTCATTGAAATACTCATCTATAAATCTATAATCTATAATTCGCATTAAAAAAGACATAAATTACTCCTGCAATTCAGATGTATTTGACCCTTATTGTTTTTAAAGAGGAATACATTTGTATTTAAAACGCACTTCTGACTGTTATTACCATCTTTGATCATAAAGTTTATTATTCCGAATTCAATATATCCTGCCTCAGTACTTGTCTTTGTCAGAAGTCTTTCTGCCACATTCAGCACCTAATCAACACTAATATGGAATTAGAATGGTTAACAAATGATAATAATAGACTTTATTTATATAGCACCTACAGCGGGTGTAGTTAAATGATCCTTTATTGATCCACACAGGGACACTCATTCTCTGCATTTGAGCCATCTTAAGTACTAGGAGCAGTGTCCAGGGAACAACTCCAGATCTGGGCCAGTGCCTTGGTCAACGGCACTGACTGGACAAATGAACCTAACATACACGTTTCTGATGGTACGGGGAAACCGAGCACCTGGATGAAACCCACGCTGACACAGGGAGAACATGGATGCACACGCTTTACAAAAGAGTTAAGAAACAAGGGCAGAAATAAAAGACAGGCAAAGTGCAAATACTGCACAATGAAACCACACAATCAAATGAATAACAAATAAAAGAGGCAGCACATAGCAAGAACAGGTACGCTAAGAGCAATACGATATGTGAAAGTTCAATTTAAGAAGTAAAGAATAAGAACAATAAAATATGGTAAATGGTAAATGG